CGACATATAAAGATGGACGACAAGTGATTAATTTGTCTAGTATGTTGGTAGTTGCTCTTGGCTGCAACAATTCAATGCGATATAAATGCTGTCCAAGACACTCTTCTAGATTCTTATTCCCATTCTAGTCTTCAACGGGTATTTTCTATGTTAGGATTACGTGCAACACTTCGCCGCACCAAGCTGGAGAGAATTACCGCTACTGACCACGTCGGGAGCAGGCACATTCGTCATGCAGTTCTTAGTTTCCACCACGGGATTATATGGCTCTGAACTTCTTCATGCAAGGGAAAATGCGATTTTCCCAACACAGTATAATCTAATAATATAATATAGTAACAGCAATTAATCTTTCAGTGTACAGTGACTACAATTTACACTAGGGAGAAGGGACTCCCTCACCTGGGCTATTAAAGCCCTTAGCATGGTATTGGTCATCCAAGGTGACGCCACCCTCCGGTTAACCTCCAGCGAAAATTATGCACACAGTCAAAAATATGCAACGCAAGACGGGCAATCGGGCACTAACCGGTCGTCACACAGAGAACGCTGAACTATTCCCCAGTGTTGACGAACAGGAGCTGAACCCCCGAGAACAACATTAAAATATCTAACCATGAAGCCACCCCACAACAAAGGGGGACACAAGACAGTAGCAGTAGTTTTTATATACGTCATTAAAGATTTTAACAATTTTACTGCTTTCGACAAATCCCTATTTTTACTCTGGAAGAATAAATTCACTTTGTCAATATCAGTCAAAATGTCATTCCAAAAGAAAGTTGTATTTAATTCATTCATCTTGTTTTTTAAGTTTTTTGTGGAAAGTCTAGTATCTGTTGCTTGTGATTCATTATTAATTAAACAATCAAGGCTCATGACAATTTCTGTATATCCTTCGCGTAAATTGCTTTAATTGCGTCAGCGCGTGCATGTCAACTTAATTTTGATAAGCTATTCGATAGATGCTTATTTTTATCAGAATTCAGATTTAAAGTCAGTATATCCCAACGATGGGTTGACGATGAGAAAACATTGCAGAGAATTTGGACAAAATCGAAGTAAATCCTTACATTAGAGTTACATTCTACTGTTTGAACGCCAATTCGTATTTATTTGTTGCTTGAAGTCGGGCTTGCAATCCCGAATATTTTCTAGAAATATTCTAGACATTATCGTATGCCTGACATCTACAATCACCGAGTGATATGTTATTTTCCAAAAATGAAACCATAGCATCCGTCAGATACTCTGAAGTATGTCCATAAATATGAATAAAACTGCAAATATCTCTCAATTGGAGCACCATTTGGGACATATCGTATAATAAATCTTAGTTGGTCGGTATGAGTAACATTTGGGTTAGAAATCAGAGTAATATTTAACTTTTTTGTAGTTCAGTATTTTTGTGCTTCAGGCAACTATTTGCCAAGACTTTTGACGAGATGTCTTCTGTTATGAAGAAAAAGTTTCGACACCAAGGTTAAATAGTTTTACTTCTAGGTACCATGTTATATCTGAAATTCCTATATTGTTAAATGTTAAATATGGAAACTACTTGCCGTAAAAGGCAGTAATCGTATAGTGAAACGTGTACAGCATTTTTGCGTTGTGAAAAAAATGCATTCCGGGACCGCGCCGTGAGAGGATCGAAAACATGAAACATATACAAGATATAAAGGAAAAGTTCATATTAAATATATAAAGAAAACATACTGTAAGAGGTTCCAGATTAAATATCAGTTTATTCAATTACAACACAATAAGAAAAATCTTAACCTCATCTGAGAGTCTGTTCATTTAAATTCATAAAAAAACTTAAGGTTTGTCTCGTGATTTAAAAGAAAGGAAAGGGAAACAATTTAAGGCCTGAGAGTTAAATTTTAGATTTGACGTTGTTTTTTTTCTGCTAAGGACGTTTTTGAAAAGCTTGCCTAAAATTCAAACACAACCAAAAAAAATAAAAACTTATCTTGAAGGGACATCTTGAAGCGGAGGACTCTTATCTTATCCCGCGTTGATGTCGGCCGGGCTCATCTTGACACTGGTTCTAAAAATGTAGACCCACTTCACTACTGTAGAACAGAAACAGGAGCACTGCTGCCCAGGACGGCTATCCGCTTGGTCCTGAAAGTCCTATGTCAACACGCAGGTAACTCGTTCAAATTTCGCCGGTCAGAAACGTTGTTGCTAGGAAATTACGGCTCGCCTGTTCTTACTCATCCCAAGAGCAAGCTTCACGGGTAACGTCCCAAGTAAGTTCCAGAGTAAATCCACAAGTCCAGCCAACCAGTAAGTGCGCGAGTCCAAAAGTAAGAGTGTCCAGAGTAAGTGTGTATCCAACTCGAATTTCCTTCGTCTCCTTCACCAAAACGGGCTCCCACTATGGCTTCACTTATCGCCCCCTTAATTATGGCAAAATCTTCGTTTTCAACTCCAGAATGCGGAAATAAGGGTGATCGCGCATGCGCGCCCTTCTTCACTTAGCCAACAACCGAACCCTCAATCGCCAAAAACCTGAATGACTTACATTGAAAGACAAGTAGCAACCTTTGACCTTTCCGTCACGTACTTTCCTCTCTTAAGGTCAACTAACAATGAAAATTCTTTCTCGAACATTCTAAAGCGCGCGAAATCATGACTTGGCGAAAATTGCCTCCCTTTCCCTGCTTCTTTCACAATGAATAAAAGTTTGTACAAGATTTACAAATAGAGGAAAATAAATAATATTCATTTAAACTAAATAATATTTCCAGAAGCATCTGTTTCTCCCCAAAATTAAAGCCTTAAATTAAATAATTCAGAATCAAAATAAAATTTAAATTTCCATAAATCATAAAATCATTCACCTAATTTTTTATAACGCTATCAGATAATTTCTCTACATAACATTCCTTTCCCCTAAGGAATTAAATTTTGGTTTACCAAAATTTAGCAGACAGATACTTCTTGAAATACCATGACTCATACTGTGCAATAAGGCTAAAGGATAACATAATGTAACAATATTTCACACGACTCCTTGGTAACAGTGACGTTACTGACTGACACATTAAATTTCAAGTCCAAAATGTGCAAGTAAAACAACAAGATTAATCAAAGCAATTACTAATTAAAATACTCAAGGAAGATCATCAAAATAATTAATCAAAAACATCAATTAAATCACTTAATTAATTACATAGAAATATTCAGAACACATACAAAAATAAATAATAAAAATAAGGCGTTAATCACAAACAAAATATGTCTAAGATCAATCAATAATGACAAAAAGAATTTTTTTTTTTCAGTTCATTGCATCACACTAGTGTTGCAGTCTCTGTGTGGCCACAATTCTGAACATGTAATTATCTATTCATTCCATTTCAGTCCATTAATGTGAACAATTTCACCTGAGGTCGAACACATTCTACTATTGTGATAATTTCTGCTGAGCACAATCATGGAGTACATTAAATGAGTACGGAGTTGTCAATGCAATCGAGGGAAAACCCTGTAGTTGGAAATCATTGTGTTAGCAACTCCCCCCCTGCAGCCTTCAACGCGAGAAAATGAAAGCAACCAACCCCAGAATGTGAACTCAGCACCACAATACTCCTTAGTAGAGGAACTTGACCTTAAAAGAAACCAGATTTCACCCTCCTACGTCTCACCTTCGACCAAGGAAGAACAATCACTCTTTCAAAGTTGAAGAAGACTTTATCTTTCAATTTTCCCCTTACGATAGATAAGCCACTGAATGTGTTCGAATACACACACCTGAAGAAAGAAATAATCTAATCCAATTGCTCACACCACAAAAAAAAATGAAATAAATAAAAATAAGATAATTAACGCGCCGCAGATACATAAAATACATTCCTGAGAAAATAACACACTAATAATTCAAACAATTCCAAATAAAATATGTCACATGAACGTATTCAAACAAAGAGTAAAGATCCCCCTAAGTACTACGAAATTGAATAACTTCCCGGAATGAATCCCAAACAATCACGTCTAAGAACAGAAGCGGCCTGATCAGGGCCCAGCATCAGAAAAGAAAAGAACGTTACAACACAAGGAACCTCGGAACCAGCCGAAAATACCCCACACAAAAAAAAATCAGAAAAGAAAGAAAACGTGATTGTCCAAAAATTCAATCCAACCAAAATCAATTCCGAAAATAGCATCCAGAATACGCTGTGCAAATACCCATTAGAATTTTATCCAAGACACACAAAAATAATAGTAATAATACAACCTAATGCATATACAAAATAACGTTTGGCCAAACTGAAAAAGTCAAACTATATACAACAAAAAAATATATATCTATATGTATATATTTCGCTAAAGTCTGATTTACTGAGTCCAAAAATAAATGTTTGCAAAGCCCTACATTAGTAAGCAACAAAACCCTGCGAATCCCTACGTCTCAGGTTATAAGGAATATCAGCACATTGATTATGAATTCTCTCTGGAGCATCAGAGTTGCACGCCTGCAATGAAGGAAAGTTTATACGTTCAGGTACCTTTGTCAATCTATCCACATGTACTACCTGCGACTGCTGTGGGCTCGTAACTGACTCAATTTTAAAATTCACTTTGGTGACCTGTTCGACCACTCTAAATGGACCCTTATTAAACTTCGCAAATTTCTTAGTCAATCCAGGCCGCAACACAGGAGTATAAAGATACACCATATCCCCTATTTTAATATTTTTTGAAAAAACAACCTTGTCTCTAATCTTTTCCTGTCTTTCAGCCGCTTCCGTTAAGTTTTTATTTACTAAAGAGAAAACCCTGCGGAGTCTTAAAATTAAATCCCTTGAATAAGTGTCTGTGTCACGATAAGTCTTAAAGTCTGTTTGTGTCAACAAATCAATAGGTAAATTTAAATCTCTTCCATAAAGAAAAAATGCTGGGCAGTCCAGTAATGCGCTATGCCGTCCAGTTCTGTGCGCTAAAAGTGCGAAAGGCAAATGTCTGTCCCAATCTTCCTGCGTCTCACTCACAAGGTGGCTGAGAGAATTTATTAGAGTAGCATTTAAGCGTTCAACGACTCCGTCAAACTGCGGGTGGTAACTGGTGGTGGTGTGCTTAGTGATGCCTAATTTCTGATATACTTCTTTTATTGCATGTGAAATAAAATTCGATCCCCTGTCAGTAACTACATGTAAAGGCACACCGTGAGCCGAAATAAAATGTTCCAGTTTTTCTATGATAGATTCAGAAGTAAAGTCTTTCAAAGGATAAGCCTCGGGCCACCTCGTAAAATAATCAGTGATAACTAAGATGTATTTATTTCCCTGTAAAGTAATGGGTAAGGGACCAACAATGTCCATGGCTATTCTTTCTATCGGACGGGAAGCCACAGGCATTCTCAGAAGAGGAGCCTTGTGAGAAGGCCGGTGACCCCTCCTTCCGATACAGGAATGACAAGATTTTACATAATTATGAATGTCCCTATACATGCCTTTCCAATAAAAGGATTTTTGAATACGTTGCAGTGTGCGATGGAACCCGGAATGTGCCGCCACCGGCGAATCGTGGTGCTCTTGCAGAATACGTGAAACTAAAGATCGTGGAACAACCAACCTGTGCAGTTTTTGCCAACGGGTACGTTGCTTAGCATATTCACAATATAAAATGCCATTACGCATAAAAAATTTCAAAAAACGAGGACTAGGAGTCAAATTTTTTTTTATATCTGAAATAATCTGCTTACAATGCATATCTGAACCCTGCTCTTCTTTGAACGTCTGTAATAAGTCTGGACTGACAGAATTTTGAACAAGGTGCGTTACATTTACTGCTCTAGACAAAAAATCAGCTGTTACGTTCAATTTCCCTGGTTTATGTATTATTGTATAGTCAAATTGGGACAAGCTCATAATCCACCTAGCTATCCGAGAAGTGGGATCCTTCAATTTTAGCACGTGGGACAGCGACGCCTGATCTGAATAAATTGTGAACCTTTTCCCTAAAAGGTACTGGCGAAAAAAGGCAGTAGCCCAAACTACTGCTAAAACTTCCCTTTCAACTGTACTGTATCTGGTCTCCGGATCTTTTAACTTCCGGCTTGCGTAACAAATTGGATGCAAGAACCCAGTATCATCCTCCTGACAAAGAACAGCTCCTAAGGCTAAATTGGAAGCGTCCGTACAAAGCGAAAAAACGGTTTGGAAAAATTGGGTAGAGTTAAAATAGGTTCCTTTAAAAGTTCATTTTTAAGAGTGTCAAAGGAATTTTGAGCTTCATTGGTCCATTTAAATACAACTTTGTCTTTTGTTAGCTGTGTAAGAGGAAGAGCCTTCTGTGCGAAATTAGGTATAAATCTTCTATAAAACCCTACAAGCCCGAGAAACCTTCTAACTTCTTTTCTATTCCGAGGAGGAACAAATGCTTGTACAACTTTTAAATTTCTGTCATCTGGTTGTGTAAGATACCTTTTGATACCTTAAATCCTAGATAAGTTATTTGGCTTTTGAGAGAAAATGACACTTGGACGGTTTCAACTTAAGATTATGATTTCTGAGTCTGTCAAAAACTATTTTAAGCTTTTCAAGGTGTTCGTCAAAAGTACTCGAAGCTATCACAATGTCATCTATGTATATGCCTATTTTTAACGGGGACAGATTGGCTAAGACAACAGACATGAGCCTTTGGAAAGGAACTGGGTGCATTGCGCATTCCGAAAAGGTGTCCGAAGCCATTCGTAATGCCCGGAAGGGGTCGAAAAATCACTTTTAAATGTGTCATCCGGGTGGATCTTCATTTGGAAAAATCCCGAAGTTAAGTCCAACGTTGAAAACCAATTCGCATCACCCAATTGTTCCACAAGCTCGAGCATATTGGGAAGAGGAAATGAATCTTCAACAGTTTTTTCATTAAGTTTCCGAAAATCCGTCACTAATCTATACGTATTATCAGCTTTCTTTACAAAAAGAACCGGCGCACTATATGGACTATCGCTTTCTTGAATAATATTGGAATCCAATAATTCTGTTATTTGCCTATCTAATTCCTCGCGAAGATGAAAAGGCACTTTGTATGGCTTTTGTCGAACCGGAATACTATCCTTAAGGTTAATATTGTGTAGAATTGTATCGCACCCCGTTAGCTGAGTTACAGAAGAAGCGAAAATGTCATGTCATTGTAATGGCTAAAAGCTTAGTCAGGTGCTGCTGCTGATCCGGTGACAAGTGAGAAAGGTCAAATTCTCCCCCCCCACGACTCAAAATCCTCTCCTTTCTCCATGGTCGTCGTGTTATTCACGCAAGCAGTTTCTATTGAAGACACAGTAACAGGAAGAATAGATGCTAACTTAGTTCTTTTGTTAATATGAATAGTCTGTGGAGTAAAATTTGCTATCTTAACGTTAAAAGTCTTAGAGAATCATTATTTAAATTAACTGATCTTGCCACAGAGAATTTACTATGAGAGTTTTTTATCAATCGGCTCTAATAGGACTGTGTCATGCGAATCATTAAACGTAGGAGCAATTACCTTTACTATATTATTCTCAGAAAACGGCAAAAGTTTATGTTTACGAACTGCATAGCAATAATCCAAGGAATCTATCGGTCTCGGAAAGAGACAATTTGAACTGTCACACCAACGTAAAGCAAAATTTTGCCCAAGTAATTGTTTAGTGCTAAAATCCAGCATGAGGGCATTATCAAGTAAAAACTGTGTTCCTAAAATGGCACCATAGTGCAAAGAAAAATCCTTGTCCTTAATGAGAAAATCAACAGGAAAAATCCTGCCTTGCAATACTACGGGAAGTGAAACTTTCCGTGTGATTAGAACATTCTGATTAGAAATTCCTTTTAAATAAAGTTTACAAGGAGAAAATGAAACTTTATCCCCTAACCCTGCAATAATTTTTTCCTCTATAATATTAACCGTTGCCCCCGAGTCTATCAAAAATTTAATTTCTGTCTGTAATATAGAACCCTCTACTATTGGTAATGAAGATTCTCCTGTAGTGACTACAAAGACGGATGGCACCTCCAAAAGGGCATTCGAGGAAGAAATGGAAGCGTGTTTCTCCACACCCTTTTCTAGTTTAAATTAAATGTCTGAGCTTGGTGATTCAATTTGCTACCAGTTGCACCTCGATCCTGAGATGCTACCTTCAAATGTTCGGGTGTCATATGAGAATTAAGTGTATTCGCCGTTCCTGCCTCTCTTTGTCGAAATCTGTGATCTGATCTACCCTGCTCGTTATTAGACCTGCCATTTACATAACAATTTCTGCTTATGTGTCCTACCCGGTTACAACGGAAACATCTAGGCTGTAAGGATCTCGACCGAGGATTATGCACCATCAAAGATTGCATTTGGCGCTGCAAAGTATTCATCATCTGTGTCAACTGGGTTAAGTTCTGTTGTTGCAATCGAATAGCCTCTACAAGCTCTACATTATCACCCGAAACACAAAGAGTGTCCTTGGAATTTACCGTACCCGTAGTATGGACCGCCTTAACTTCCGCTGACTGAAAATCTGCCTCAGCATGGTTTTTATCCACATCTCTTCCTCCAAAAACTGCGTGGTTTTTCGCTGCTACAAATGATTTATGATTATGGGGCAAAAGCAGACGTCTAAGGTGCAAATGCAATCCTTCTAGAAAAACAGATAATAGCAATTCCTGTCTCTGAGTCTCTGCTGCCGGATCGCCCATCCTTTCTACTGGCACTGTTTTATAAGATAAAGCCTCGATACGCGCAGCGAATTGTCTGACTGACTCCCGCGGCTTTTGAAATGCCTGTATAAGGGAGCGAATATGGGAATGTAGACTTTGAACTGTTGTAAACCTGTCCTTCAAGGCACCTACCAGGTAGGAAAAATCAGCTTCGCTCCTCAAACGCGGATTATTCCTAACAAATTCCGCGGCTTCCCCCCCCCCAAGTTTAACCCGAATTACCGTAACTTTATCTGACTCCGTCCATCCTACATGTGATGCTATCAGTTCGAGTCTATCTAAAAAATCAGCTAGGCTAATGCTATTTTCTCCTCCCTGTAAAAATAGGAACTGACTCCAGTGGGTCCAAGCCAAAAACTGAAGTACCCTTTACACCCGGGGCTGTCTCTTCCAACATCTCTACTGATGGGTCAGGCTGTCTAGCAGAACGGCGCGTTTTCTTCGACATATCGCCCTCTAATAGTTTTGAATCATTCAAAAATTTCCAAATTGTCAAGCTAATTTAATCAGCTGCCAGTTACGCGCAAAACTTAAAAAAAACCTCCACTCATTGACAACTCCGGTACTTTTACAGAAAACATAAGTATCGATCATTACATCTAAAAACATACTGAGTATTTCGAAAGCCTCAAAATTTGAAATTCACAAGCCTTCTTAAACATACCAAATACTTTTGTACTAGTAAACAACCTAACATGCACAGTATGAAATCATTGAATCACACGTACTAAAACACTATCTTTTTTGGTTAATATTATACCAAAACAGTTTAACTAATCTTAAATTCAAGTCTTAAATTAAATTAGAGAATTAATATCCTGCAGTAACCAGTAAGCAAACATAATTCAAAGCAAAACCTTAATTAGTCCTCACACATAAAATTTAACACTTTCATAAAACAGTAAGTTATACAAAGTAAATAAATTCAAAAAAATAAGTTACTGATTCGATCCTTCACTAAGCAGAGGTCACGGCACCAATGTTATGAAGAAAGTTTCGTCGTGAGAGGATCGAATAAACACAAAAAAAAAAAATACACTTATCTGGTTGGGCATCTTGAAGTGGAGGAGAGCTCATATCTTAGCTCTATCCTTACGTCACTTGGCAAATCCGCAAGACAGAGACTCGAACGGCACGACAATAAATTACATCAGCTATACCGTCAAATCTTACGCCTGCTACTGGTTTCCATAGAAGAAAATTATTCCCACTGGAAGCAAGAGAACAGCTTACACCGCACGGCTGTCTGCCTAGACTCTCAGCTCCACCAAGGAAAACGTAGACAATTAAGCTAGGCATTTTAGAGAACGGCTAACGCAGGCTTCCAGTTGGCTAAGGTGACATAATTCCTTCTGTTTTCAAGTCGGAGTTCAGAGGACATCGTCCTGACTTTTGCCGATACAGATAGAGACCCAAGTCTCTGTTAATTTTTTTGTTATTCGCTCAAAAGTTTTTTTTTCTTCGCATTTTTGAGAAAACCCGCGGCCGGGGAGCATAATTGCCGCTCCCCGCCGGAAGCACTGCTCGATGCCGACTAAATCTTTTCCTTTCTCCGGTCAAGAGTAAGTGTGTCTCGTCTCTTAACCAAACGCGGCCGGGAAGCATATTTGCCGCTCCCCGCCGGAAAACACCTCTCGGAGTCACTTACATTTTGTCCAGCAAGCCCAAAAATC